AATAGCATTGTAGCATTGTAGCATTAATATCAATTTAGTTTCTAAATTTGAAATTTTAAGAAAGTCTCTTAATGTAGGTAGCTATGCAATATGCAATGTTGCTATGAAATATAGGTACCCATAACAACTAAATAAATAATCTAATGGTGTCATTAAATATTTAGTATGAAATATGCTCAACCTGACAATTATGAGGAAAATTTAATTAATATTTTAAAAGTTACTACTTTTGTCCAGCTAATAATGGTTTTGGCCTACTGTGCACAATCCTGATTAAAATATAATGTTCAAATAAAATGAAAACCTTCAAAAAGGAACTCTCTGGACAATGTCATAATGTTATTTATTGTTGTTATAAGTCCCTAGTGACTGGAAATATTAGTCTTACTTCTAGCATTTTCATAATGCCATGTAGAAACTCAATTTTTAATATCTTCCAAGTTTTTCATAGTCTCTCCTTCAGTTAATGCACACCTCACTGGTTTGTCTGCTTTAATTTTCTAGAGTTTATTATATCAAGAAGAGTGACAGCTTTTTTAATGAATTCACATGCTGCCAAAACATTAGATGAACTTGTTAATGATTTTAAATACAATGTTCTATGTAATATAATATATTATATTAGGCAGAAGATTGTATTTATTTATATATATTTTTTTTGTGTCTATTTTATATATTAGATAGAACATTTTATTTATTACAATTGTAGACTTTTTTTTTTTTTTTTTAATTGATTTAGGTGCCCCAAGCAGTCCTTACGGTCTTATCACAGGGCACCGCGGAAGAGCATTTATTAGGAAGTTCACGCCTCCTTCCCAACCGATGTTGCAAAACTTGCCCAGAGGTGAGGTTTGAACCACGGATCTTACGTTTCTGAGGCAAGTGCGCTGCTTTATAGATAGAACAAGATCAAATGATCTTATCATCAGAACCTTTACAATTTTAAAAACAAAATAGTACAATAAATCATACTATAAAAACTGAAAATATAAATCCAAAGAACGGCCGTAATAATAAATCTGTATAATAATTAATTCATAGTAATAATCGATTATTACTTGTGATGTTATTACAGATACTCGGTGTAGTTAAGGCACTTTTAAAATATTATAGCGTATGATATTTTGTATGATATTTTGTTGGTTATGACATATTTCCGTGAAATGGTCTGGTCTGTGAATTATGAAAAAACGAAAAAAATTAAAATAATAAATTTTGCGGTATCATAAAATATAAAGGTGAGTTTTCACTTTCCCGTTTTTTCACGGGAACGGGAAAGGGACGGTCAAAATGATCACGTGGGCATGCGTAGTATAAGTTTTAATATGTCTGAAGGAAAACTACGTATGCTCACGTGATTAATTTTCCCTTTCCTATCCCGTGAAAAAACGTATGAGTGGAAACTCACCTTAAATGTTGGTAGCGAAAAAACCCAGAGCGTGGAATATTTTTTTTTAAAAAAAATCATCTTAAAATCACAATCGCTCGTCCAAATTTAAATAAGTTTTTATATTAATACGTTTTTTAGGTGAAATGAACATTATAGTTTAACAATATGATCTGTTCTGATCGTTTATTGGCAATTATTTATAATTATAAGCTCTTTCTTGGTCGGAATTCCAGCATTTTTTGTGAAAATTGATAGAAATATTGTGTTTTGACAACTATATATAGTTAATATACGTCAGAACCGATTAGAACTAGGATAAGTAGTAAATTAAAAAATATTTTAACTAAATTCATGTTAATGTCGATGAGCGAAATTGATCTAAAGACTCCAAAATAGTGTTCTTTAGATTCATTATTACGGGTTGTAAAAAGATTTTAAAAATTATATATAAAAAAGAAAAGTTTCTTCAAATATTATAAAAACTTTAAGCAAAAAAAATTATAACTTTAAAGAACATCTTGTTTGGGCATAATATGCTGACAAAACCATGCTAATTCCAAAACTATTCAAATATTTTGTAAATCGCTTTAACTACACCGAGTATAACATCACAAGTTTGTTATAAGAATCCATAATAATAAATTTTATAGATCTGTTATAAATTAAAGAGAATAAATCTTTTAATATAAATATTACTTTTAATCTCATAAATCAAGTTTATATATCAAATTGATAGTAACTTAAAATGTCATTTATAGGAAAAATAAAATTTTTAAATTTATCTTTAAAAAAAGAAAATTTTAAAAACAGAAAACTATTGTAATAGCTCTGAATTTTTCACTGTATGTTCAGTTAATATATATCAGTGCCATTGACTAAAATTGAGATTTTATTATGCAATTTTTAAAATTATTACTTCAAAATTCGACCTATAGCTATTGTTGTTAGGCAAAGCTCGTTAATAAAACGTAGGTAAAAGATATTTTTATGATTTTTTATACGTATTTGAGCCAAAATTGTTGTTTTCTTTCTTAAAGGACAAAAACGCTATTTATTTTTTTGGAAAATGAAAACAAAAAATTTAATACCACCTTAATTAATTTTCTAAAAAAGTAAAAGAATAGAATATAAGAGGATGAACAAAAGATTTACGTTTTTACGTTGTTTTTTTTTTAAGAAAATAATTTTATGAAAAAATATGTATTTTTAGATGATGAAGAAGATAGATTGATACAACCTCTAGCCCCCTTATACGCCCGGCTAATGGACAATTTATATTTGTAGCCAACTTTTACATCTATCATTTGACACTGATTATAGGTATTTAGATAAAAATTTAACAATTTAAGTTATGAAAAACTTTCACACTTTCTTCAACAAATCCATATATATCAAAAATTTGTCACATAAAACTAAATTTTTCTTTTTATGGTCTGGTTCGATTTTGATAATTTTTCCATCTTTAAAATACACTTTAATAATTATACTCCTGGGATATATAAAGTTTTTTATACATCCCAATCACGTTCTACATTAACAGTTTAGCTATTCGTGAGAATTTTTTATCACTCTTTTCATATTAACTACATTTTATTTAGTTAATTATACTATTTCACTAATAATAATTTTATAAAAAAACGCAATATATTTTTTATTATCTTATATTATATAACTACCATTTTAATCTATAATTTTTTTGAAATTCTATTAGGTTTTGCTATAGCAGTCCTCGATGGAGCTAGAATGCAATAAAAAGCGAAGCGCGTTGTATGAACAAATATAGCGTAGCATAGATATAGGAATATAGGATAGGGTATTATGCGGCCGTGGCGCAGTGGTTAGAGCACTTGCTTTAGAAGCAGAAGATCCAGGTTCAAAGCGAACTCTTGACATATTTTCGTGTCATGGTAAGGAAGAAGGCGTGAACTTCCTATTTAAATGCACTTCCGCGGTGTTCTGTAACAAGACCGTTAGGTCTTCTTGGGGCACCTAAATAACAAAATTAAAAAAATTATGGGTATCTTAAGCCAAATTTGAAATATTTTCAAAATAAATTATGTGGGATCTAAAATTTTTGCGAGTAAGTAATTTTTAGGAATCACTACTTATAATCTACATAGATATTTGGGCACCCGAACTTGTTTCTTAAATACACAGAGGTTTTAAAAAAATAACAAAAGCAAATTTTCGCAAAGAATAACGATAAGTTTGCTAACTCTATATATTTTTGGGTGACGAGTTTAAGCGCCGCACGTGGAAGCAGGGGCCATCTAGTAAAGGTGTGGAAAAGGGGGAAAGGGGCTAAAATTTGCAATTTCCAATTTTAGCAAAGTTTTATATATATTTTTAAACACCTTATTAAATTATTTCTTTTTTTTTCCAAACAATATGCTGCAGTAAATTTATAGAAATCCAAAAAAAAAAAAAAAAAAAAAAAAGTTTTATTAAATCTAAGGAGATGTAATCTACTCAATCGCCTCCCCCCTATGGATCTGCCCTTGCGTGGAAGAAAGTAAATTGGGTAGCAATTTTTCTATTTCACATGTTTTAATTTTATATTTGTAAATTTAAAAAAAATTATATGAATAAAATGTTTCTTTTTACGACGAATGTAAATAAAATATTCTGTTGTCATTATTTTTGAATTTAATTTGCTATTATTTTCCATGAAATTTACTAGTAAATTTATAAATTATTCATAAAGCGGCCTAAAGTTTTGAGCGAGGGCGGTAGGAATGCTAAGCCCTGTACTGAAATAATGTCATATTTTAATATCATATATAAACATACGCACACACACACATACACACACAGATATATATATATATATATATATATATATATATATATATATATATATATATATATATATATATATATATATATATATATATATATATATATATATATATATATGCTTATATATATATATATATATATATATATATATATATATATATATATATATATATATATATATAAATATATATATATATATATATATATAATAATATATATATATATATATATATATATATATATATAAATATATATATATATATATATATATATATATATATATATATATATATATATATATATATATATATATATATATATATATATATATATATTTATATACCGACCTAACTGCCGACCTAAACGTGTTTGCGGTCGGCAAAAAAAATTCGGTTTTCCGACCTCGTTTCGATGTTTTATGGTAAGACCTTTGTATTTGCCACCTGATGCCAATTTCTAAAGGATCGAGGTCTGCAAATTATTGCCGACCTCAATTTTCCTAATTCCGAGGGTTGATATATAAAAATTAGTAAAAACACTTATCTAAATATCTTCTACAGTCTGTTTCACCTTCAGCAGGTTTATAAGGGAGCTTTCTGACGTTACGCCCATACTCTGTAAAAAATGGACATACGCGGGCTATTACTTATAAGTTTAAAAAAAAAATTCAAAAACTGTGGTTCTTTTCTTTTATATGTTATTATATATTATTATTTTTTTTAATCGTAAAATATTGAATGTTGATTTCTTTAAAATTTTAAGTGATTTTTCCTGATTGTTTTGAGGCTTTAAAGTATAGCTTATCAGAGTCCCAGGCCGCTGAAATACAAATTGTGGCCGTCGTTACGAAGTAGTTTCTTTTACTCGGGTCAAAATGGTGAGTTTCGTCGTACTTGCGTGAATGTGCCAATCTTTTGGTATCGATTGTTATCTTAGGTATCAGATATTAAAAAGTAGAGTTTTTCGCTTATAAAAGTTTCATTCATTGTGTTCAGGGTATTGACATTAACCATCGATATGACAAAAAAAAGCGAAGGACCGAGCCTGTCTCCCAAGACCCTTACCTTCGTTTACTCGTAAAGGTTAGGCTATTAAAATATTTCAAGACATGTTAATAATATGTTTTATTACTTCTATAATTTTATTGTCGTTTAAGTTTCTTTTTGTAACTTCCTCAAAAAAAAAACTAAAACGACAAATTAAAATTAAAATCACATTGTTGCAATTTTTGTTCAAAATGTTTTTTTTTAGTTGTATCGATTTCTTGCACGAAGAACAAGCTCAAAATTTAATCAAGTTGTTCTAAAAAGACTTTTTATGAGCAAGATTAATAGACCTCCAGTTTCTATTTCTAGAATTGTAAGTTGTTTGATAATTCTTTACATGATGTATTGTTTTTCTAAATACTTTTTATGTATCTCTTATGGTAGTCCGTCGACTCCAAAATTTTATGGTATAAATATAAGATAAATATACATATATTTTCTCTGTTTTAAAAACAGAATTATAAAAGTGGTAACTTCGCCTTTTTCCTTTTTTGTTGAGGATTTATGTTTATTTATTGTCATAGTCATTTCATATTATTTATAAATGCATTTATAAATAATACGAATATAGGCATTTATCCTCATTTAATTTTACAAGATTTGTAAGTATTAAGGTTAGTTTTTGTTTTTCTATGCAACAATTTTATGAATAAGTGTGATAAATTCTCTTAATGTTTCAAAATAGAATTAAAATCTGAACTCATTAAAATTAACAAGAAATTATGACTCTAAAAACTTTATGTTAAATGTAAACTCTTATAGTTAAATGTAAACTTTTTTAGTTAGATAACCATATAGAACTTTAAAGTCATATAAAGTTTGCTGCAATATATTCTTATAAGTAGTACAGCTTAGTATTTTTAAATAATTTTAAAATTACAAAGTTCTGGATAACATCAAATATAAATTTATACATTATGTAATTATTTTTAACTAAAGTTTTAAAAATTTTTTTTTATCTGACACATCTAACGTCTAGCTATAAATCTATGTAGTTGGTTTAACAAATTTCAAACTACAATTTTTGATATAAATGTCAAAACTTTTAATAGGCAAGAAGAATGAAAAAGCCAGGATGTGAAGATAAAATTTGTGTTGTTGTTGGAACCATAACTGATGATATCAGACTTATTGAAGTCCCTAAGCTCAAGGTATATTTTAAATAATACAATATTAGCTTTTTTTTTTTTTTTTTTTTTTCTTACCTTTTTAGTAGTAATAGCTATAGTATTTTGATTTAAACTATATTTTTTATTAGATTTAACCATTAAGTATATTTTGACTTAACCTTAATGAACTAAATAGTTTGTTAATATTTTGGATGTTTACATTTTAGATGTTTAGTTTTAGATGTTACAAAAACGTTTTTAATCTTAAAGCATAACTTGTTAACAGTTTTCTCTTTGTGATTTAACATCATTGTTATGCTTATATTAACATTGTGGTACTGAATGTCACTAGCCATAATGCTTGTATTCATCAAATCCATGAAACATTTTTTATTTTAATGATCAAATATTCCAAGCATTAAAACAAGGTGCTCAAATTATAATTTTTATATCTTATAAAATTCTAATTTTGATTCAAATTATGATACTTAAAATTTGGATATTATTAACATGCAAACAGAGAGTTAATTAAACACTTGGTGTAAAATAGAGAATTTTGATTTAAGGTTTCAGCAAGTAGTATGCGTGTCAACTTAGTATAGTTGCATTATTCGCCTGTCATAGAATATCTGAAATGAACAGTGAACATAATGCAAAAATGGAATTCAGAGAGCTTAACAGGCTGTCAAAATTGCTCATTACTAAATTGCAGCTACACAGCTAACTCTGATATGTTTTTATTGGTAAACATTTTGTACAATAATAATAGTTTTGTATTTTGCATTATTCGCCTGTCATAGATTATCTGAAATGAACAGTGAACATAATGCAAACATTAATCAAATATATTTAAGTTAATTTTGTTAAGCTGTTTGTTTTATTTACAGCTAGATATCTAACTTATACAATTTATTTGTGTCTAAATATAAAAAGACAGTTTGGCAGACTTTTTTATAGACATAACTTATTTATATGAAAAAGTTTTCATTCGATATGATGATATTTTTCACGACGGTCTTCATAACAATTATGTTGAAGATTGTGAAAACTGATTTTTGAATTTTACTATTTAGTATAAAATGTTAATTGATTTTATAAAAATTACTTAAGTTTAATAACTTATGATGATATTTTTCACGACGGTCTTCATAACATTTATGTTGAAGATTGTGAAAACTGAAAGCCTTTCTTTTTACTTTTCTCTTCTTTTTTATTTTCTTCAAATAAAAGTAGAAGAAAAACCATCAAAAAATGAATTATTCGTTTATGTTTGTTATTGAAAATTTTAAATGTAATCTTATTGTCATATTGGTAAATTATATTACATGTATGTAAATAAATAAGTAAATTACATGCATGTAATATAGGTGTGTATATATATATGTACTATATACATATATATTACAAATATATAATGTAGTATGTGTATAATATGTGTTCATTAGTAGCAGCCATGGTGCAATAGTTTTTAGATCCCAAAAATCTGATATTTGATGGTGGCTCCAGCAAAATAAGTGACATTAAAGTAGATGTGTACTCCTAGTTAAATGTTTTCCTGCAGTGCTGTGTGATAAGATTGTTAGGAATTCTGGGTTTAACTAAATAACCACTTTAAGAAGTATTATGTATTTAATATACATGCATAATATACAATTTCTTATCCTCCTTGTATGTATATATAAGTACATATATACTATATAAATTCTACGATATTATTTTTACCTTTCAAGGTGTGTGCTCTTCGTTTAACAGAAGGTGCTCGTACACGTATTCTGAAAAGTGGTGGTGAAGTAATTACATTTGATCAACTTGCTCTTCGTTCCCCAACTGGTAAAAAAACAGTGTTGTTGCAAGGCCCAAGAAAAAGTCGTGAAGCTTGTAAGCACATGGGTCGTGCACCTGGTGTTCCCCACAGTACAACCAAGTGAGTTAAATATTTATATTTTAAATGCACAAACACTGTGTTGATAAACATTCCTGACATGATGATCGAACATTATAGCTTCTGATTTGTAGTGAAGTTTTTATATCTCGTTAACCTGATCAGGAATATGTTTAATTTATTAAATTTCTAAATTTTTTTTGTCTTTTCTGTTTTATCTAGTTATTGTTTAATATTATATTGTTGATATATTTTTTTGATTATTATCTTTTGTTTAGACCTTATGTTCGATCGAAGGGTAGAAAATTTGAAAGAGCTCGAGGTCGTCGAGCATCTTGTGGATACAAGGTTTAAATGGAAATACAGAGCAAAACTTATCTTTTTTTTTTTATTATCTTTTTTTTTTTATAGACTCCGCGATAAATATTAATAAGTTGGTCGTGTGTTTTTGATAATGTGAACTTATGAAAATTAACTATAACAAATAGTAGGTGCGTGTGTTTTACTGGTGTTCAAGACAGCAAATACGTACGTATTTATTTATTTAAAAAAAAGACTAAATCCGATTTAGACTAAGTTTATTGGTGATCGTTGCAACAGTGGCGCACTGTTAGCATCGTGTACATGAGATAAAAAAGGATGAGATTTTGTTTGCCAGAAATATTTACATCAGGGAAAATAACTGTTCTTAAAATTTTTATGGTGCGATAAGATAACTGAATCTCTATAATAATGGGTCGTCCCTTATGAAAGTATGTACGCTCTAGGGGGGGTGGAAGGTCTTCAAAAAGCGTATGGGGGTATCACCGTTAGCCTTAACTAATGTTAGGGTTTCTGAAAGAATATAGTTTACTTAACCCTATGTATATAGTCTACCAAATCAGAAAACTCCTTTTAAAGTATTTATGGCGTTTTAAAGATTTTTTCGCGCCTTTTTTTGCAAGTGTTTTCGCCATTTTTTGGTCCGCCATGTTTTCATTCAAAATTTTGTTAAAGTTACAGACAATTTGTTAGCAGTTAATAATACAGAAGGTATTTTGTTATATTACATTGTTAAAGAGTGGATAACCACATAATCAGAATGTTTTAAATCATCAAACGAACATATATTTACAAAATAAATTTACTAACTATTACTTCTCGAATTGAATCACTAAAAAATATCAACATTTAGATTAACATTTCCAAGAGAAACAAGATGTTTTCCATTATAAGAACTTAATGCCCTTACTAAATTATGTCCATAATTAGAATTATTTGCAGACACCTTGTAGCGGTTCCAAGAGAGTTTTGAAAAGGTAGTGAACACTTTCTCCAGATAGCTCCGAATAAACTCCAAGGCCCATTTTTTTTGTTTTACAGAATTCAGATACATGATTGAACGGAATATGGAATTTTGGTGTTCAAGTAATACCATGTTCTAACATAAACTCTTTATATCAGGCTTTTAAATTTTCGATATTAGTTTGAAAGTTTTCATTAAGTCCGGATCCAAAGCAAGACTCAACAACTAAATTTAAAACCTTAAGCATTCTCCAAAAGACTTTAGTTTAATTGGCAGCTTATCATAAAACACTTCCCACTTTTTAAGAATTTTTCGAGAAGAATTTCCATTAAATTTTCCACCATGCTGACCAGTCTTAATAATTTGCAACTGTTCATAAATCTCCTTCATACTCATTTCCGACCAAATCTGCTCCACGTTATCCATTACATGATTGACTGTTCCCTCTATTATATGAAGCTCCGGTAAAACAAGTCTATCTATAACAAATTCAGAGGGGTTTCCATGTACTAATACAGGGTTTATATAATTCTTAAAATGTTGTGCACACTTAGGTTTTGAACCAGATTCTTTGAATTTTGTTTAGTTTTCTTGACAGCTCTCAAAGGTTCTGTATGGAGTATTTTTCCAAGCTTCTCTTCTATCCCACTCACATACATAGCAGGGATGAATCGAACTGCTACTTGGAGATATACCTGTCAGAATTTGACTAAGTTTTATGTCGCATACCCCAATGTGCTCAACTTTATCAAGATTTAGTTTTTCAAATAATATTTTAATGTTAAAATATCTTTCTGGGATCTCTGGAGCTACCAGAAGAAGAAATGAAGCATTTACTGACGAATCTTTGAATTTCTTTATTAGACCATCTTTATATGAACCCCTGCAAGCTGTTACGGGTTTTGTTTTAAGGTGATCTATGTCAAACTTGCCGTGATTTTCAAAAATTGTTAACTTCCCCCATCAACAGCAATTTTAAACAACTGATTCTTAGAATCAACACATTTAAGATCCAGGAGTAGTTTAACAAAAGAGTAACATCATTGCAGTACGCGACTGTAGTATTTTTATATTCCAAAATTTTATCTTTATTTTTAAATTCAAATAAAATATTTTCTTCAGTAAATAATGGGAGAAGATAACTATCCAAATCAGAGACACAGTCTTTCAGTCCAGGTTCTACAGCGTTTCTTCTTTTTTCAACAACTCTGTAATTAATAATTTTTTTTAATACTAAATTTTGCTACAAGTATTGCATCATTTTATTGTGCAGAATTTGTATTAGTATTGTAATTTTACCTTACCATATTAGCAAGTTTTATAATTTGATGATTACTTAAGGAAAGAGAATTCTGTATACAAAGAAGATTTTTGTGAGTAAAATTAGTTGTTTTTGGAGTATTCTCAGATCCAATAGATAATTTTAGCTTACTACCTCCTGTCTTCAATGAAATGGTGTTACCACTTTCACTGCATAGCTTTTCTTTAATAACGTGGGAAGCCATTTGTTCCTTGACATCTAAATAAAAGCTTGCTAAGGTTCAAAAGCTTACTAAGGTTAAAATAAAATCATCATTTTTGATTTATTAATCTTAACATTTCTTTCACTTATCTCTCTATTAGTAACGTAAAATAATACAGCTTTTTTAATACCTTGATATCCTGGTGCAGCTGATATGTTATTTCTGAAAAAATAATTTACATAGAAATTGTTTTCTATAGAACATGTTATACAATCTTTCAAAGTTAAATATTCAAAGTTATAAACACGTTTTCTACCTGAGCGTTGTTGGATTGCATTTATGATGCAATCCTCTTTTAACTTTAGTCAGACAAAAACTACACCGCGGACTAACAACTGCCGTTTTAAAACTCTTTATACCAGATTTTTTCTTGGGTATTCTTCCCTGCGTTCTTGCAATTTTACATATTTCACAGCTACAAGTTTTTAGTTTCCTAAAATTATAAAAAAAAATTATAATTTTGCATTTCTTTACAACAGAAATATAATTAAAACAACATTTTACCCGTTTCGTGTTTTAACCGGAAGAGTCATCTTTGACCAGTCAATGTCAAACCTAATTTTCTGTCTGAGGTCAACCACATTTGTTCTTTCAACTATACCCCTACACCTTAAATAGATAAAGATATGCAAGTATCAAGCAAAATGTGATTTTATTCATTTATTAAATCTTATTTCTTTGAGTTTAACAAGGTATCCCATTTTTCAGTTATGTGAATTCACATTACTGAAAAATTGGAAACCTCGTAGTAAAAAGTAAATATGTCATAAACGTAAAACCATTCATTAATGGTTTAACATTTATGACATATTTACTTTTTATATATTTACTTAAATAAATCAATCAAGTATACCAACCTTGAACACAATCCAGTAGAATATCGGTCATCAGCAATGTTATAATCCGAAAAACAGCTCTGAAATTTAGAAATTAAATGGATTTTGCTGTTTATTTTCATATGACATTTGCGACCACAAAAAAGGCATACTTTTTCTCTGTTCTTTTGATGATCTAAAATAGTCTGAGGATGTGATTTACCAATTCTTAACATTTTTTTAACAAAATTTGCTCTATGATTGTCTTTTGCAATTAAATCAGTGGCAGAAAAAATGGCGGATTAAAGATGGCCGTAAAAGACAAAAAAGGCGCGAAAAAAAGACGCGAAAAAATCTTTAAAACCCCATAATTACTTAATAGGAGTTTTCTGATTTGGTGGACTATATACATAGTGATAAGTAAACTATACTCTCTCAGAAAACGTTGAAATTAATTTGGACACAATTCAAAAAACCTAACATTAGTTAAGGCTAACCGTGGTATGTAGGTTCACTTTAAAAGTACGTACATCGATTTTTTAATTTATTACAATTAACCAGCTAATCAATAGAAAAGTGGCGGCCTGCAGGATTTTTTAATTTTCCAGATAGGACACTCACATAGTGCAAACTTCAAACTTAAGTGTGTTTTTAGCTAAACGTTACAGTAGGCGGAGGCTGTAAATTTTGTATGGTCATAACTTGTAATATTCAATATATATGCCTAATGTGAGTTGGTGTCTTATCTAGAACATCAAAAATCCTGTGGGCGCACATGCCACCCCTTTTAGCCTAAAGGGCTATAGATCACATCTCTTTGTAAACAACATGCGCGCGTATACTTTTAGGTAGAAAAAATAAATACGCATAACATGTTTCTTGTATTTTCTTTTATACTCGAAAATCGTCTTTTATACTCGAAAATCTTTATAAATATTTTCCTAAATCTCTACAATAAACATTTTCCAAAGGTCGAAAAAGAAATTAAAGCAAAATACCTAACCACTCCATGGATTACCCAAGGAATAAGAAAATCGTCAAAACAAAAACAAAAACTCTACATAAAATATCTAAAAAATAGAAACCATTTTAATTTGTCTAAGTATAAACAATATAAAAATCTATTTGAAAAAATAAAATTAAAATCCAAAAAACTATATTTTTCAAAGCAAATACAAAAATTTAAAGGAGATAATAAAAAAATCTGGGATATTATAAAAGAAATAATTGGTAAAGATAAAAAAAACTCGAACCAACTACCTCCAAAAGTTCTCATAAGTGAAAAAGAGTTTAATAATAAAAAAATTATCTCTGAAAAATTTAACAAATACTTTGCAAGTATAGGTTCCAAACTCGCCTCTAAAATTCAACCTACAAACAATTCATTTGAAAATTACATCGAGGACTCTCGTTGCTCCCTAGCTTTTAAAGAACTAGAATACGAAGAACTTGAAACAGCAATTAAAACATTAAAAATTAACAAAGGTCCAGGTATCGACAATATCCCAGCCAATATTATTTTGAATGTCTTCCCAGAAATAAGTAAACCCATTTTTCAAATATTTAACTCTTCAATAATTACAGGAATTGTACCCGACTATTTAAAAATAGCTAAAATTATTCCTATCTATAAATCCGGAGATACATCTTTCTTAAATAATTACAGACCAATATCAATCCTTCCCGTATTCTCAAAACTGCTCGAACGAATAATCTACAATCGTTTATATAAATACCTAACCACAAACAAAATCCTGAATGAAAACCAATATGGTTTTCAAACTCAGCACTCGACAGAGCATGCTATCGTAGACCTCGTCAATAGAATTAGTGAATCAATCTATGAAAAGAAGTTCGTATTAGGAGTCTTTGTAGACTTGTCAAAAGCGTTCGACACAATAAATCATGAAATCCTACTAAAAAAGTTGGAAAAATACGGATTAAAAAACCATACACTGCAGTGGTTTAAAAGTTACCTGTATAACAGACAACAATGTGTTATTACAGATGATAATTACCACAGTAAATTATTAAAATTAACTTGTGGTGTTCCTCAAGGTTCGATTCTTGCTCCTCTTTTGTTCCTAATCTATATAAACGACCTTCCAAAAGTTTCTAGCAAACTTGAATTTATAATGTTTGCAGACGATACAAATTTATTTTACTCTTCGACAAACATCAAGGATCTGTATGATAATGTAAACATAGAACTCCAAAAATTAAATATATGGTTTAAAACAAATAAGTTATCGCTAAACATAGAAAAAACAAAATACACTTTATTTCACTCAAACCAACAAAGAAACACACTACCAAATATTCTACCCTCTCTAAAAATAGAAAATATAGTAATTGAGAGAACTCACGAAACTAAATTTTTAGGAGTTATAATTGATGAAAATTTATCTTGGAAAAGTCACATAAATGCTTTAAACACTAAAATATCAAAAAACATAGGTCTACTTTATAAAGCAAAACCAATGCTGTCGCAAAGTAATTTAAAACTTATATATTCCTAGTTTATACATAGCTACCTCATATATGCGAATATAGCTTGGGCGAGTACGCATATTATCAAATTGAAAACTTTATACCGACGTCAGAAACAGTAAGACAATCTACTAAAGACAAATTTACACACGCCGAACCCTTTTTTAAAGAAATGAATGTGCTTAATATTTATCAAATTAACATTTACCAAAATATATTATTTATGCTAAAATTTAAATTAGGTCAAGTACCAAACCATTTTTTAAATAACTTTTTTATAAATAACGTTAATAAATATAACACAAGAGAAAAAGGAAACTTTATTACACCTTTCAAAAAAACAAAACTTTCCCAGTTCTCAATTTCATATCGGGGTCCTTATTTATACAACAAACTAGTAACTAAAAATAAATCAATCTGCAATCTAGATTCAATTTGCAATCAAAATTTTTTGAAAAAAAAGTTAAAAAATCTGATACTGAATCTAAACAGATACTCAGAATTCTTTTAAGACTATAAATTAAAATACATATACATCAACTACAAAGTGAACTGACTCGTTTATGTGTATTATCTAAATGAATCTTTTTTTTTTTTCTTCTCAAATTTCTCAAACAATATATCAAAATGTGTTTATTACACACAAAAAAAACACTTGATTTTTTCTTATCAAGTTTAGTTATTATGCTGCTAGTTATGTCTAATATTTTATACTGAGCTTATTTTGAGTTTATTTTTTATTATGAGCTAAATTAAAAGAATATATAAACATAGTTGTACTTAATATGTAATTATATTTATATATTTTATATATATTTATATTTATATATATATTTAACATAATCATAATAATATATCAAACACATTGTAAGGGCTTCGTGATAAGATCATTACGATCTTCTTGAAGTCCGGCCTGTACTATTTAATTATAAATTTCACTATATATATTTTGACTCACGAGACTTGTAAATATTAATTTACGAAACTTGTAAATGTTATATGTACGGCAAATATATGAATAAAAAAAAAAAAAAAAAAAAAAAAAAATCAATATTTCCTTTGAAAAAGTATTAAAAGAATATTAATTAAAATTAATTACAAATTTTGGTAATCAAAATTTTTATTGTTATGAAAATCTTGTTTAAAAAATTTTTTTAAACAGATGTTCTTGTACAAATTTTAAACTCATTTTAAATTTAAAAGTTGTTCTTGCAACTTTTCTACTCTTTAAATATATATTGATTATGGAAGTCAACAATAATACTTAACTTTTCAAATAGTTAACAATTAGTAAACTGAGGCTAATTTTCTTGTATTATCCCTGCAGTTAAAAGATGAAAAAAGTTTCATTTTATCAATTAAAAAAGAAGATATATATATATATATATTCTTAAAATGTTTGATAAATTGACAATAAATAGTAGGAAGTTTACTGTGTATGCCAAAGACCAAGTTTTGGAAAAATGATACTATGCAATTTCACTAACTACAAATAGGAATGGTTTCATTGCACTTGTGTTGGACTAGGGATGGCACTTTTACTTATTTTGATGTAAAAACGCGAATTACTTTTAAGCGCAAATTACTTTACATAACCTATATAAAAATATATAACTTACTTACATTTAAAAGTAATTCGTTTTTTTTTTACGTAAATTATATAACATGTAAAACTTAATTACTTAAGTTAAGTTTTTTAAATGAGTAACTGTTACTTGAAAAAGTAATTTACTTTTACAAGTAAAAGTTGTTCTTTTACTTGTAAAAGTAACTTACTTTTAATGGTAAGTCGTGTAAAGTAAATTACTTTCAAAAGCAATTTTAGTTATAATTATGTAAAAAATTTACATCGAAATGTAATTTACTTTTTAAATGTAAAAAAAGTTATTTATGAAGTAAACTTACGTAAATATAATATTTAAAAAACATAACACTTACTTTACCAAGTAAAATAAAACTACATCATAACAACAAATTACTTTTACATGTAAAAGTAACTAATTAGCATTAATTAGCTTACATAAAAGTAATTTGAAAAAAATTGTTATTTACTTTTACAAATAAAAGTAATTTTTTCTTTGAAATTTTATACTTTACTTTGTAAGTAAGTAAAATGTAAGTTACATTATTTACTTTCTTAAAGAACAGTCATTTAATGTTGATTTAACGTAAATTTTGATATAGGTAGCGTATTCAAATCCATTTTCTGTTTGAGGGCACTTCTGGGTACTACTTCAGGTATGTGGGCAAGTATGTGGTGGGCCATCAGGAAAATTTTTTTTTCCACGTATATCAGAAAGGGTAGTTCTATTATAATTAGAGGCAAATATAGTCATGCGGGAATAAGAGTAGTGTAGAGACGGGAACCCTGCCGCATGAGTGCTAATAGAAGCTGGTAAATAATCATTGATTTTTTATTTCTTTTTTTTTTGTTAAGTAGAAATAGGTTATAATGAAACTTTGTCGGGGGAGGAAGGGAGCATAATTTCTTAGCAAAGGGTAATTCATGCATGTGTAAACCCTGACTAAGTCACAATTGATTTTTTATTTCTTTTTTTTTTGTTAAGTAGAAATAGGTTAGTGGCTATAATGAAACTTTGTCGGGGGAGGAAGGGAGCATAATTTCTTAGCAAAGGGTAATTCATGCATGTGTAAACCCTGACTAAGTCACTGTTCGTTAGAGCGCGCTTTTTCTCCAGTTTTTTTCTTTGTATTTGTCTTTTCAATCAAGTATTTTGTTATGGTAATATGACGCAATATAACATTTTTGGTACCCGCAAGGACATCGACTGCTACAACAGTTTTCAAAAAATTATAAGTCATTTAAACTATAAGTTATAATTTATATGATTAAAGGAGTGTTTATCAGATATAATCTTTTGATGCGTTTTATCATATATAATAAAATTATATTGCGTTTTATCATGTATAATGAAATTTCTATTTGAAAAAAGATGGTAAGAAAAGCTGTTTAATTTTCTAAGGTTGTGGGCACCCTAATAACCTACTTTTTGTTGCGTTGGTGTCCAACCCGCACAAGGACAATAGGACAAACAAAATCTTATTCAATTAAAATAGCGCTTTAGAATAAACTTGTAATTTTTTTTTTCAAACTTTATTTTGACTTTACAAGATGTTTGTTGGCTATCAGTTGTCCCGGAATCTTGCGATTGATTTTTCACTACCTTCCGGACTAGCTAGAGCTCTGAAACTTCCAGCATATGTGTAAATTTAATAAAAGTAAATCTTAAAATTGTTTTCAGAGCCAACTGGAGAACTTTGTTTCCTGCAAAGAGGGTTGTACCCTTCATTTTTTTCTCTAATATTTTGTTTTTCTCTAATAATTGAGGTCTTTAACTTTTTTGAAAGAAAGATTTTTGCAAAAAACCTTTAAAAAAGGCATTTTTTTTTTGGTTTATTTGTTTCAGTATTAATTTTTTTGTCGGGAGGAAATAAGTTAATAGCCCTGATAAAAATTTACCATAAAAGAGTCGTGCATATTTGTAGCTATGGTGCTGCTTTTTGCATTTTTTTGCATTCTCCTAATCAGTGTGGTTGTTGTTAACGCTAATGCGCTAACTCAAATGCATATATAACAGCTTGGGGTGTGATACCCCCGTCACCACCCTGGTCGTAACAACCGTCTAACAGAAATAAAATTTTGTTTTTGTTTATTTATTAATATCTATTCATAAAACTGTTGTCTGGAATTAACTAATTTCAAATAGTCTATTCCAGACATTAATTATTCCTTTATTATTCTATTATCTAACAATTATTCTAGTTAGTCATTTCAAGAAATATCTTTGATTTTGGTTAGATTGGTTTTTAACAACAACCACGCTGAATAAAAGAAGCCAAAATGCAAAACTTAGAACAAAATTGCAAAATGCAGAGCCATTTCCAAAGCAAGAACAATAAACCAGACAGTCTTTTAAAAAAAAATTTAAATAACTGATTTAAATAACATTAAAAAAGTTAAAGTTAAATAGTAAAAGTAACTTTAAAATTAACTTAAAAAAAATTTATAACTTTTCATAACTACAACAACCGCTTATTTTAATTTGTTTAATATAACGAATTTAGTAGGATGGTTCAAAAAAGTAAAATACTTTTAAAAATACTGGTTAAAATACTTTTCGTCATTTTCAGTTAAATACAAATTTTTAAAGTAAAATTTAAATTCTTCTCTTTAAGTAGCATCGAGTACCGCAAGTTTCTTGAGCTTAAGTTACTTCTTTCTTCGCGATGAATAAAGTTAGCAACACTAAATGAGGATTCTGGCCGTACCGAACTAGCAGGTGAAGTACATACCTCTCTTGCTTTAGAGGCTAACATTGGAATATCGTTTTCATACTTGTACCAAAATTGATCGAATTTCCAAGTTTTTGCTTTTATAGTATAATTGAAAAAGGATAACTCCTCTTTTATATTTCGCTTTAACTGTGTTTTTTCTTCGCACAGATTAAAAACACACAATGTTGCAAGCTTAGCAAACCCATTTTTGCGTTTAACAGGAACTTCAGGTGAAACATGAAATTGAACATGATTTCAGGTGAAACATGAAATTGAACATGAAATTGAACATTTCAGGTGAAACATGAAATTGAACATGACTTCAGGTGAAACATGAAATTGAAGCAGCCGTGGCGCAGTGGTAGCGCATTTGTTTCAGAAAAGTAAGATCCGTGGTTCAAACCCCACCTCTGGACAAGTTTTGCGACATCGGTTGGGAAGGAGGCGTGAACTTCCTATTAAATGCTCTTCCGCGGTGCTCTGTGATAAGACCGTAAGGACTTCTTGGGGCACCTAAATCAACATAAAAAAAAAACAAAAAAAACAAAACATCTTTACTTGAATCAATCATATCTAAAAATGAAAACAAGTATTTATATTAGCTGAAATGTAATCTATTTTTTAACAACACTGAAAATGTACAAAAAGTAAAATTTTTATATAAATTTAAAAACATGTTTTTTAACAAAAATAAATTTTAGGTTTATAACTAACCACTTCTCGAATAATTTTGTTCATTTTGCAAACAAATATTTGTATGCGTTGATCTTCGAGGATATTGTCAGAATGCTGACTTTGCAAATTTTTTCATAAGTTTGTTTTCTGCTTCTTGATATTCTTTTTCTGTAAGACACTCGTTTGTTCTCGGATCAAAGAAACATGCTAGCAAACTTTGCAGCTTTTGTTTTGTAAACATCTTTTCAACAAAGTATACCTTCATGAACTTGAGAAGACTAGCTCGTAACATGTTCTCTCTTTCCACCGTAGGAGATGGTTGTAAAAGAAAACATTAAGTTGACCTACATGCTCACATTCAATTTCGGGGAAGCCAAACGTGTAAGTCCAATTTGGTACATTGTTAAAAGGATAATATTTTTTATATATGCTAGTTCACGACAAGTTAACTAGCTTACATAAAAAGTTTATTTTTTTCTTTAAAGACGTAAGATCGTGCGCAACTTCTGGGTTATGTTTGAGGGGCGGGTGTGTCGTACCTCCCTAAGATTGTAAAATTTCAACTTATTGTTGGTAGGGAATTTTCAAATGGAGTAAAACACAAAAACAAAATAAAAACCTTTAAAAAACAGTATACATTAAAAAAAGAACAAGAGGCATTAAATTCTCCATCATTTTCTGTTCTTCTAACATTAAAACTGTATTTAATTGAGCTTAGTTTTTGATGTCGAGATCGAGATTTGTAGGTTTTTTAAAAGAATTTTTAACTGATGCTAAGACCCTTTTTAGTAACTTTTGTAATTTTTTGGAACTCCAAACCTTTCAAGAGAATTAAGTAAGGGCAAACTTGATTGCTGTATAAGGGTTTGACCTTAAACAACAATTAAATTTTTTTTTTTATTTGATTGTGCATAAAGTTTAACCCTTAAAAAAATGAGAAAGTGTATTTTTTTTATTTGGTGATTTTTAATAGTGGGTAGCCATCTTAGATAAGAACTGGTAGAACTACTATTTATGCTTTATATTAAGTTATTTTATATTAAGTTGGTATATTTGTCATCACCCAGTGAGATCTGACCGGTTAAGGTAGAAACTATTGTGGTGGTGCAGGTTACTTTTGGAAATATATGTTAAGTTAGGGCACAGTCGATCGGATTTTATTTTTTAAATTAAGCAAAAGTTAAAACATGTATTTTATTTTTTCAAGGCGAAAGGATTGAGATATATGTTTTTCATGATGATAAATTACTAAAACCCAAATATTCATTATCTATCGGCTCACAGAAAGGTTTAGAGTGAGTTGCGTTATGTTATTCACTGTGCCCTAGTACTGGGGCACAGTGAATCAATGAACACAGCCGTGAATTAATTATAGTGATTAGCGGCATAGTCAAATAAATATAAGGCTAAAGACACTGTAAAAATAGACCTTTTGAAAATTGAGACGAAAAAGAAGAACTTTATTGATAACAAAACTTATAAAAGTATTAAAAAATTAAAAAATTATTCAAATATTATTATTAAAAACTTAAAACTAATAAATTCATTTTCATGTAGTTTGTTTGTTAAAAATGCATGAATTTAATCTTTATAATCATTAATTGGACATTAGTGAACCAACCTATTTACTGTACCCCGATTCACTGTGCCCTTTCATAACAAATTTAGTTCAAGTCTAATTTATTGAAACATGAGTGTTGTTAAAAGAAAAGCTAAACTACTAAAAGGAAATATCAATAATCCGAATGAAAAACTTCAACTTTTAAAATTATTTCAACCATAATCTCCTTAGAAACATAAAGAAGGTAAGAAAATTTACTTTAGTTAGCTAAAAAAAAAAATTACCTACCAAAAACCGGTAGTCAAATACTTTGTGGTAACTACTATAAATAAAAACGGCTGATATATGAGCACATAAAATGATTACATTACTAAGATGAATAAAATTCTAATCTTTGAGAAAATGACTCTTATTCACTGTGCCCCTCGATCTACTGTACCCCAACTTCCCCTTCCTGAAAAATTAATATGTATGTAGCTAAAACACCAAAGGGCATTTAAATTGGCTCTTTACTTACAGAGAAATTTTTTTCTAATGTAACTGTCTAAAACAGGGTGTTTTGAATAATTTTTTTTTTTTAACATATAAAAATGACGGTGTTATAAAAAATATTATTCATCAAAAAAATTTATTAAACAAAAAACACGATTTAATTTTAAATTGATTTAAATACAAGTGTTGTTGCGTGGTATTATGCTGCAATGTAAAAAAGCTTTACAATTTGAACATGCAACGATTCCTTTTATCAACAAACCAATTACAATTAATTAACTCATTTAAAGACTTTATGAATAATTATTAATATAATGATGTCTTTAATAACTATATTAACATTACATAAGTAAATTTTGTCTCAAAATTTACGTAAGTAAATTTTTGAGACAAAATATGGTTTTAATTATAATATATTATAATTATTAAAACGCAATAATTTTGGTTGAAATAATTACTAACAGCAATTTAAATCTCATGTATAAAATAAACTATTACAAAATAATTGGTAATATGACAATGGTATTGAACATTATATCGATCGAACTTAGCACAACTTATATATCCAAAAGTGCACCTGTTTAATATATATTTGGTAGTGTCATAATATTTTCATAATAATTTAAATTTTTAATATTTTTATAATATTTTGGAATTATAATGCATAATATTATGGTCTATTGTGGTATAAATAAAAACATACTTAAGTGCCAAACATTAGTTTGTTCTTGCTTATCACATGAGAATGTTTAGAAAAAGATTGGAACAACCACCTCATTAGGCGAAGATGTAAACTTTACAAAATTATACCTTTAAAAAAAATCATTACTAATATGTTGCCCTCACATTTAGAGTAGAGATGGTAAATGTTTAGGGTATTTTGTATCCAGGCTTACGTGACCAAGGTGCCCAATTTCTGTTTCTCTGGAACAATAACTTTTCTAAAAAAAAACAAAAAAAAACTCTTTAAATATATCTCCTAAACCTTGCGGCTCTACCCAGCCGGCATTATTACGTTGTTTCAACGTTAAAATTCGGTTGAAGCGTTGTTTCAACGTTATTCAACTATGTCACAACGTTAAATCAACGTTACCGTTTAAACGTTGATTATTTAACGTTATTTCAACGTTAAATCATTGTTGACAAAAATACACCTTTTCACAGTTCCGATATAAAATTTATGCGCGCGCAGAAATGGAAGTAAAAACGTAAACATTTCAACGGTTTAAGTTAAAGAGATTTGTAATGGAAAAAAATGTAAATACTGAATTTATAACATAGAATTTTCAAGAGTTCGAAAACATGTTCAGACGATTTTCCTGAAAGAGCATTATCGTTTAAAAATTGATATTTTTTGTTTAACTTGGGCTACAATGCTCAAAGACTTATATTATTAAATGTAAATAATACAAATTTTTCAAAAAATGATCCATTAAATTATGTTGAATTTAATGTTAAGTGTTGTTTTATAAAAGAGAATCAGGAATTAAAAAAGGAAATTGATAACTTTAAAAGGACTTCAGCACGAAATAAAAAAAATTAAGATTTATATGAAATATTAACTTCAACCACATCAGTTATTACTATGAAACCAGACAAATTTGTATATAAACATAATCCAAACAAATGGTGTTATTGCAATTTACTTGTATACAAACATTTATTTTAAAAATGATAGATCTTGCGACTTTTATACTGGCATTACATCTGTCAATCTGTTTCATCATTTAGTGCAGTATCACCATTAATCGAAAAAAGATAAAGTGATATTAAAAAAAACATCTACTTCTGTTTTTTGAAATTTAAAAAAATCCTTAACTACTTGGACCAAAATAAATGTAATGCAGCAAAGATGAATTTTGAATGATGCTAATACTTGGATTACTGACAGCTGATCTTGCTGACAGGTTTTATTATATTTTTAGGGTTAGTGAATGCAATATTTTTTTCATGGTTGAAAGCTTCTAGCTCACTTTTAAAGCATATGGTTTTTGTTCCAAGTAAAAATGACAGGCAATGTAAAACAAATTTTAGAAATTAAATTATTCAGACTTACACTAAATTTCAGATATAACAGAGTTTATTATGGAAACACCTAAAAAATTTTGACTTACAGAAACTTACCGGGAATGAATACAAACATAACAACAAAATAAAATCATTAGTACCCGTAGCTCCAAATTCATCAATATTTTCTTTAAAAAATTTCTAAAGCTTACAGAAGCTAAATTTCGGATAAAGAAATTAAAGATTGCAACAACTATTTAGATTGTATTACACAATACTCTTGTATAATGTATGATTAAGGCTTTAATATTAATTTAATATTAATTTTTTAATACAAATGAAGTGATTTTAATTAAATCCATTTTTATCAGTCACTTAAAAAATATGATGAGTATTTGTATAAAGAAAATTAAAAATTCCAAACAATAATATTAGCTTTACATGTTTTTTTTTTAGGTGAATGAATTGCAATTGATGGGATATCTTTAAAAGACAGAATTTACAAAATAATGCTGAGGTAATCTAAATAATTTTTAATTATTCAGGAGTTTTAAGGATTAAATTATTTAGCAAAAAAATTGTTTGATAATGAGTTCAATTTAAATTATAAAAAAAAAAATTTTAATATTAGTTCTCACATAATTAATATCAGTTCTCTATCTATTAAAATTCTAATAATTTTGTGACCTCCATGAATGAAGGGGAAAGATGGAAATATGCTTTAAAAGCTCTAGTTTATATGGTGTAGTAAAAGGTATACCTTTATAAGATTTGTAAAACTTTTTTATTCTCATTTTTTATATATTCAAAAATTTCTCCATGTGTTTTTTTTTTTTAATTCTTTTTATTAACAGCTTTTTCTATTAAATACGATGGAGCGACTGAAACTTTAATTGATGGCATTTTGTCTAACTTCTTAAAATGCACTCCATTTTGGAAAGGTGGCGGAAAAGAAAAAAATTTAGATTGATTGATATAAATTTATATTTATTAAAAGCAATCTAAAATTTCTTTATTGAAATATTTACATATATCCAAAAGAAAGCAAACAGTATTGTAAGTGGAAACTTGTATGCAAATTTCTCCACAAGCATAATATTAGATTTACTTTATGTTTTTTACAGATAAATCAATTACAGTTAAAATTAAAATTACAGTTAAAATTAAAATTACAGTTAATTGGTGGAACATCTTCTAAAGATAGAATACACAAAATCATGCAATCAGGGTGTCTGCAGCTCCTCTAAAATCCTCTAAAGTCCTCTTTTTTTTTTATAACTGCTTTTTTTTTTAAAAGTGCATGGAATTATAAAAAATTGCTTTAGCAAATGCATGCTATTTAACATAAAAAATTACATTATTTGATCTCTGTCCAAGCCCCATAAGTGTTTAAACATGGGCGTTAAACCATTAATAAATGGCCACATAAAATTTATTATAAAAATTTTATGTGGCTACCTTGAAAATTATTTTTCAATGCTAGAAATGTTTTATATTTTGATTATTAATTTTTTTTGAAAAAAGGTTGTTTTATTTAAATTAAATATTTGAAAAAGTTATTAATACCAACTAACAGTTATATATATAGAGTATTTTCGAAAAGTTATATGGTGTCCACGGAAATGAAGGGCAAAGGTGGAAAATGTTATATATATATGTTTTATATATATATATATATATATATATATATATATATATATATATATATATATATATTATATATATATATATATATATATATATATATATATATATATATATATATATATATATATATCTATATATATATATATAAAGATATGCTTTCATAAGTTGTAACACTTTTCCATTCATTATATATTTTTTAAATCTTCACTTTTTGATTTTTTGTATATATTTTTTTTATTTACAGCTTCTTCTATTGTGTTCAATGGACCAAAAGAAACCTCGGTTAATGGAACAATATTTGACTTTCTGAATTACGCTCTATTTCAAAAAGGTGGTGGAAAAGAGAAGAAATTTGTGTAGATTTTATTCAATTATATGTAAATATATGTAATATTCAAATATATTTTTCAATAAAACAAGTTTTATCTCTTTCTTTAATCATACCTAGCTATTTTAACTTAACTAAACTGAAAAAGATCTAAATAGTCTAAGTATAGACGATGAATAGATTTAATATCCCTAATATACCTTGATAATGTACAGCAACACTAATGTACGTTTTGATGGTGATCACATTTTGACGCACATAGCACGTTTACATACATATATACATTTTGCAAAATGACATACATAGCGCGTTGATAAATCAACGTTTCATTCTAAACGTTAAGTCAACGTAAATTCAACGTTAGGTTTCAACAATATTTCAACGTTATTTGCCGGCTGGGTAGGTTCAGTTGCTTGTGGGACCGTAAGTTTTGCTTATACTGGCATTGCGGTAGCTAGGCCACTGATACTACATGCAGATAAAGATATTTACGTGAAAAGTTCCAAATTTTTTTAATTTTTTTTATAAGTCTTTACGGTCTTCGCACAGAGCACCGCTGATGAGCATTTAATTGAAAATTCACGCCTTCTTCCTAACCAATGTCGCAAAGCATTCCTAGAAATAGGGTTTGAACCACGGACCCTTTGTTTCTGAGGCAAGTGCACTACCACTGCGCCACGGCTGCTCAAATATCAAAATAATTAAATATAAAAGTATCGTAGTTGTTTAAACCAAGGCTTTTAGAGTCAAAGGATATTCTTGAGCAGGTGGGCTTTTTTAGTATCAAAGTGGCATCAAATCTTTACAAAATTGAAGCGTCCTCTGAAATTGTTCGCGGCTCCTTATTCTTCAAGGCATGGTGTTATAGCCCCGATAATTCAGGACAAGTTTAAACTTTCTCTCCTTAGTTTTTAAATAATAAATACATTTACGCAAAAACTTGTAAAAAGGACTAACAATTATGCCAATTAATTTTCTTTCAAATAAACTACCCTTTCTGAGTCTCCCATGGGTATATGCGCCTTCTGCTAACATTCTTTTTTCAGCTTTGTCCAGACCTTTCGAACGGTTGGCCAGAGAGTGAACATTGTTGAGACGGTTTGCTTCAGAGAATGTTTATTATAGCTAAAACTATCATGACCGGAACTAGAGAGTTTTAATCATGGGCGGAACCCTATTATTAATTTTTTCAAACTTTACATGAAAGAAATATTTAAAACCGCGCAAATCGAATGTTGGGGAAAACTAAATGTCTTATGCCTTATTCCTTAAAATTTTACTTTTTTGCATTACTTTTGTACAAGATCCTGTCAAAGTTATTGTAAAATATAAGTAAATTTATTTACTTACTTTATATAAATTACTTTTAATTTAATTTACAAATTATATAAAACGTAAGTTTATGTAATTTAAACTTTATTTTATATAACTTATTTTTAATAAAGATTTGTTATTACTTTTAATATAGAAAAATCCTACTTAAAAAATATTTTTTTTTTGTAAATTTAATTTACATTTGCTAGCATATTACTTTTATGTAATTTACTTTTATATGTAAGTTACTTTTTAATAAAATTTTTTTAAATTAGTTACTTTTAAAGGTAAATGTAAATTACAGTTTGAGTAACTTTTATATTATGTAAAGTAATTTTCAAAAGTAATTAACTTTTAAATGTAAAAATAAACAGCTTTTTCACGTAACTTACTTTTACATGTAAAAGTAAATTACTTTTTGATCTTATCTTTTTTTACATAACTTACTTTTGAAAGTAAAAAAACTTACATTATAAAGTAAAAGTCGTTTCAAAAAAATTAATTACTTATACGGAAATGTAAATTTACATAAAACGTTTAAAATTACTTATGTAATTTACTTTTTGATAAAGATTGTTTTACTCGTTTAAGTAAAAAAAAAGTAAGTAAAAGAGCCATCCCTATGTTGGACTAAAAAGAGCTCCAAAAAGTGCTAAATGTTTTTGCAAAGAATGTGAAACCAAGCAATAAACAACAAAAATTACTCTCCTTTGATATGTAATTAGATTTTAAAACTGTAAGAATTGCTTCTCTGTAAATTTGTTTTTACATTTACATTAATCAAGTAACTACACTTATATTGAGATTTACATTAATCAAGTAACTACACTTATATTGAGATTTACATTAATCAAGTAACTACACTTATATTGAGATTTACATTAATCAAGTAACTACACTTATATTGAGATTTACATTAATCAAGTAACTACACTTATATTGAGATTTACATTAATCAAGTAACTACACTTATATTGAGATTTACATTAATCAAGTAACTACACTTATATTGAGATTTACATTAATCAAGTAACTACACTTATATTGAGATTTACATTAATCAAGTAACTACACTTATATTGAGATTTACAAAAGCGCAATCATAATATCATCTAATAAATCCACGTGAGTGATTGGCACAGTCATATGAATAATGCAAAACTTTTTTATTTGACCAATCTCTCATTCCACATGTATGCAAAAATTAGATATCTGTTTAGATGTTTCCACTTCCCATCCAGATAATTGTTGTTTACCTTTCGTAAATGCTGGAATTTTCAACGTTGCCCCAACAGCATTTAGTTTGTCTTTAATCTTGAATCTTCTGTCAGCAAAAACAAAGTTGCCAGGATTAAGCTTCTGACAAAAGTTTGACTCAAACGTTATCTGTCTGTTTGAAAACTAGTCCAGTATGAAATATATTCATTATGGTCTAGTCTGGGATTATTTTTTTTGAGTTCAATAATTAACAATATAGAAAAAATAATTATATTAGAATAACAATAATAGAAAACGTTTTTTGGAGAGCGATAAAAAAGAATCTTAACTTAGATATGTTTTGAAGTTCTTTGTTCATCATGGAAAATAGTAGATAGACTATTAGAGAGAAATAAGTTTGTGTCATTAGCCAACATAATATTTAGAAGATTTGATACTTAATGCAGGTCATTGTTATATATTAAAAAAAAAGAGGCCCTAAGATGGAACCTTGCGGAACACCACAGGAAACATTTAAAAACTGTTAATTACTAACTTCATTACAAGAAACAAACTGTTATCTGGGAGAAATCACATCACTGCCTACTAATCTTTCTGTTGTTTTTGATTTGAGTGACCTGGTGCAATATCCAATCACTCACAAAATGTTTTAAACTAATAAGTCAGTGTTGCCAGTGCTAAACGTAGCTTCTCAACCATGCAAA